CCCCCCCCCCCCCAAAATGCATTTCAATCTGTTGTGAAAAAGATAGGGCCTGGGAGAAATAAAGTTACTGTTTGGTTACTTTGAGACTCTCTGATAAATTCTCTGATAAAAAGACTGAGGAAGAAACAGAACGTTGGGGGTAGGATGGACTTTTTGAATTCTGTGTACATTTCGCCCTGTCCAGTTTGCACAGGATGCATGAATGCGACAGAATCAGTGGTGTTGATCAGTCAGGATGGTTGATAATGTTCTTACATTCTGGACAACTGAGTGTGTATTTTGTGGCTTTCATATTTTAATAGTAACTCTTCAGATAGAAGCAAGAAAAATGTGATATATAAGTATCTGTTTTCCACAGTTACTTTGAATGGTAAAAGAAGATGAGAGATTTTAAAAAGCATTTATTACATTTTTACTAACTTTTCTGTCAAGCAGTTGGGACTTTTTCCCCTTCTAAATTATATTATGTTTATCACAGTATTCCCTTGAATTGAATAGTCTTCGACAGTTATGCAGGGGGAGAATAGAGGCCTGGAGTTCACTTAGTTTCTCAGAATTAGATACAAAATCTCTTGACTCCTTGTACAGGATGCTTTCCATAGGGCAGGCAGGCGGCTGCCCTATGATATATAATTTGTTTTTGGTACAATGAGAACCAGTCTCCATTTGTTCAGATAGACCTGAAGGGTAATTAAATTTTCTCTGAAGTTTTTCCAGATGATTACCTCTGTTTTGTAGCTTCTCATTTCCATTTACTCAGAGTTTTGCCTGTGCCTTCTGTGGAGGTGACAAGTATTGTTACTGTCAGTTACACATCATCCTCAGCCTTCTTGCTGCTTTTTTGCTCTTGATTCAAGTCTTAGAATCACGGTGGGCCTCCTCACCCTGCAAGAGGGACGTGTTGGTTCGTTCCTGCCACAGAGCAGGCCACCTCACCAGGACTGGGTGTGCTGTAGCCTCTCAGTGGAGTTCTTTGGACTTCACCTTTGTCCTGATGCAGATGAGGGTCCCTGTGATGTCTCTGGCAAAATGGCTGTGTTGTACCCCCAGTGCAAGGCAAAACTGTCCTCTGAGTGTGGTCAGAAAAATTTATGGTCGTTGTACCTCGTTTCCTTTTAATATCCTCTTTGTGGAGAATGCAGCAGAGTTTTCTTTCTGGGGTCCAGATCGTTCGTCCAGCGAGCCTTGTCCAGTGTGGCCTTGTGTAAGATCTTTGTTGTACCACAAATGAATCTTTGGGACCTGGAAAATTTTCAGTGCTGTTTGGCCCTGGGATCCCTGTGCTTTGTGAGAGGAAGAAGCAGACCCAGTGCAGAACTCTTCTTGGTACCCATTTACTCTGTCCCCTTTTGTGAGTGAGTGAGTGACTCAAACGACGAGAAGCAATTATATGACAGTGACTGGTTATAGATTGGTGATTTCTCTTGTCTTTGTCTTTAATTTGTATTTCTGTTGTCAGAATTTGCTTTAGCAACATTAAGTTTGTTGCCTATTATATACTTGTGACTAGAATGACCTCTTTCTTTTTTTTTTTTTTGTCTTTTGTCTTTTGTCTTTTTTCCGTGTCCGGCAACGGATCGCAACCCTCAGTGTTGCCCCCGCACCGGACCAGGGACCGGCAACGGGATCGCAAGCCTCGGCGTTGCCCCTGCGCCTCGCTCAGCCAGTGAGCGGGAACCGGTCTGTATGTGGGATCCGAACCCTCGGACGGGAGCGCCGCCGCGCTTCCCAAGCGGCGCACTATCCAGTGTGCCACCGGGCCGGCCTGACCTCTTTCTTATTAATAAAATATTTGAGAATTTCGATTCCTGTATACTTAAAAACTCTAGCTCTTTTTTTTTAAATTTTTATTTTGTCAGTATACAATGTAGTTAGTTATTGTGTCCCATCACCAAAACCTCCCTCAAAACTCTAGCTCTTTTTTTTTAAATTTTTATTTTGTCAGTATACAATGTAGTTAGTTATTGTGTCCCATCACCAAAACCTCCCTCAAAACTCTAGCTCTTTTTAAAAAAATTTTGTAACAGCTTTGTTGTGATATAATTCACATACTATATGATTCACCCATTTAAGTGTACATTTCAGTAGTTTTTAGGATATTCACAGAATTAAATCAATTTTAGAATATTTTCATAACTCCATTGGCATTCTGTCTCCATTTCTACCCAGTCTCTCTAGGCAACCACTAATCTACTTTCTGTCTCTATGGATTTATCTGTTCTGAACATTTATTATAAATGGAATCATACAATCAGTGGTCTTTTGTGACTGGTTTCCCATTACTCTCTGGGATGGTTCAGAATTCTACTTATGATGTCTCCCATCTCTGGAATAGATGAACAGTTTACAGATAGATTCTTTGAAGAGCAACAATAAAAAAAGTACTTCTAAACAAAGTCCGTCTTAAGTTTTCAGGTGTGCTTCAATTGTAGTCACTTAAGATAGATGGTTTTAATCTCTGTATTAATTATCTATTGTTGTGGAACAAATTATCCCAAGTCTTGGCAGTGTGAGATAACATGTTTACTATCTCGTGGTTTCTATGGTTTGGGGTGTGGGCACAGCTTAGCTCTGGGTCCCTCATGTGGCTGTTGTCATCTCTGGGCTTGACTAGGGAGGATCCACTTCTCAGTTCACTCACGTGGTTGTTGGCAGGATTCAGTTCTTTGCAGGCCTCACTCAGTTCTTTTTTTTTTTTTTTTTTAAAAGATAACCGGTAAGGGGATCTTAACCCTTGACTTGGTGTTGTCAGCACCACACTCTCCCAAGTGAGCCATGGGCCGGCCCCCTCACTCGGTTCTTTACTAGCTGTTGCTTACAGTTCTTCCTCGGTCCCCTGCTATATGGCCTAACCATAGAGCATCTCACAACATGTCACCTGGCTTCATCAAAGCAAGAAAGTGAGAAGATAAGAGTGCCAGCAAGAGAGGGACCACAAGATGGAAGACACAGTTTCTCATAA